GAGATGCTGCTGCAGAATTCACCCAGAGAAACAGCACTAGCTCACCTCTGAGGGTGGGAGAGCTGACCGAGGGTTTATCAGGTACGGTCTCCTTTAATCCTCACAAGAGCCCTGTTGAGGTGAGAACTAGCACTGTTCCCATTGTACAGAGGATAGACTGGAGCCCAATAAAGACAAGCGCTTTCTCACGCAGGGTGAGTCTGAACCCGTCAGGGCGCCTTAACCGCCGCAACTTCCAACAACCCCCCAAAACCCCCAATGCCGGGGGGCCGGCCAAAACGGGAAGGGGGAAAAAACCAAAAAACAAACTCCCAAAGAAAACCAAAAAGGCAACCAAAAACGGGGCCCAAAAAAAACAAAAACAAAAAAAAAAAAACAAAAACAAAAAAAAACCAAAAAACACAGAGAGAGAAAACACACAAAAACAGAACACAAGATGTGAGTGGAACTCATTTAGGAACAGACAGCCCTTTCTTGCTTCACAAAGGCTCTGGAATCCAGAGGACTCACAGGGGCAGGAGACCTCCAAACAGGAAGAGGACATGTCCTCTGCTGTGGCCCAGAGAGAAATCAAGGGCAGAATCATCCGTGTTTCCCTCTGTTAGAGAAGCAAGATCCCACAGCCCTGACTGACCATGGAAGGCTGTTGGGGGGGAAGCCAGAACCTCTGCCATCCCTGCTTAGGGCACTTAAAGGTTTGTGAATCTATTTTCTTTGGTATGATATATATATGTATACAGTCCAAACAGGAAGCTCCGTAAGGACTAAGTCTCGCCCGTTGTTGTTCACTAATGTATTCCTGGCATCTAGCATGTTCCTTAACGATCATCTGTTGTCATAGCCTCATTTCATAGAGGAAGAAGCTGAGACCTAAGGGGTCAAAGGATGTTCCTGGGATGTCACTGTGAAGAGCAGGCCCAACACCCCCTGTCTCCTGCAGCCCTGTTCCAGGCCTTCCTACTGTTCCCTACTTTGTCATTCATTATTTGTGAGGAGCGCCCAAGGAAAATCTTCATGTAAGACTTTTCTTCAAATATGCCCCCAATACCTGTTCTCCTCTTCTGTCAACACACTCTCTGGCTAACTGCTCCTTCCTTGGTCCCTTTAAGCCTCAAGGTGGAAATGTTTCATGACTGCTTGCCTTAGGGGGCTTCTCCAAGCATTGTCACTTTCCCAAACTCCTGCCTGTCTCTGCAATTAGCCCCTTCATGCAACACTCCTCACTTATTCCAGTTTGGGCTGTTTCCTCCTGGGACTCTGCCAGATCCACAAGAGAAGAAAACTTTGAAAAGCTAGGAAACAATGGAATCTCGGTACCAGCAGTCCAGCTCCAGGAAGCAAGGCCTGCGTGTGACCTTGTTCCCTAAATTAACATAAGAGGCAACATTCTCTCCAAGACAGCAGGTCTGAATGGTTGGAATGAAGGGAGAAAGGTCCTGGTTGACCCCATTTGGATCTCTCACCGTGGGAGCTGCCAGCATGCAGAGATGCTAGTAGAGAGCTCCATGTCTCCTGCTTTTTAGATGAAGAAAACACCATGACCCTCTGCATGTAGCATCCCAGTGTGAAACAGAGACATGGAAACTTAGAGCAAAACCCATGACCGGCGTTGGGAATAAGACAGTTCTTGGGATATATCCTTATCTTTCTTCCATTCTTCTGGCCAGAGGGGGAGAGCTGACCTCCACCTGTGCTGAAGGGGGAGAGCCTCTCAGGGATTGAGCGATGCCAGAGGACGCATCTCTATCCTCTAAAGTGGAAGATGTGTTAAGGAGCTGGAGTGGAGACCAAGAAAGGTTTATCAAGATGCTGGACAGACTTGCGATTTCCGGTACAGAGCTTGTGAGCCCTTCAGAGACCAGAGCAGTTTGAGATGTGATCCCTCATTGAAACATTTCTCCGCATTTGCCCCACTTCCACTCACCTCATCCTGCCCCATCTGGTCCACTTTCCAGTGAGTCACTGATGTTCTGGAACCTGTCATTGACAACTGTGAGCCTGGGTAGCAACGTCAATCAATGTGAACATGCATGGTGAGGATTTATAACTAGAGGATACAGTCTATCGTAGGATGAGTGAAAGTTCACCATGGCCTGACCCCAATTTTTGTTTGTTTTCTTTATCATAGCAGTAATGCATTGTTTCAGAATGACTGAGAAATGTATGCAAAGGGGAGTCTTCCCAAATCCCACTTCCCAGAGGCTACCATTTGTTATACTTTCCATTTCTTACTTCTTTCAAGTATTATTAACTTTGAATAGTAGGATTATATTTCTATTTTAAAATTTACCAATATTAACAACTGGATAATGAGGCTCCCTTTATGAAATGTGAAGAATGCAGCATACATACACGTCTTTTTTCTTCCTCCCTCCAATTCACGATATTTACTGTTTTTTTAAGACAAGATAGTCTGTGTATCCAATCTTTTCAGTCTTATGTCCTATGATTTCAATTCATCCTATAGCTGTATTGAACTACTTATCATTTTTAAACATGTGATTTGAATTAGGAACTATTTCAAACACTCAAAAAAGTTTTTCCATGTGTTCATTCAGCAAATATTTAATAAGTACTTGTTGTGTCCCAGGCATTGTTTGAAGCAGTGGATTTTTGTGTGAAGACCAATCACAGATAAGATCCTGGCCTTTTGGAGTTTATACTCAAAGGCCTGGTCGAGCTCCCTCAGAATGTGAATAAAGGCTGAAAAGAGAACAGGTGAAGGTGCTGCAAAGGGTCTTCATTGGTTAGAAGTCTGGAGGCGGAGGAGCCAACAAAAACACTGAAGAGGAGCAGCTTTTGTGGATGGAAGGAAGCCAGGAGAGTGTGGCATTCCCAAAGCCCCGTGGACACAGTTATTGATCAGCCATGTCAGATGCTGCCACGTAGTGGAGAGAATGACCTTTGGATTAGCAGAATGGAATCCTTGCCAATCTCACCAAAGTGGCTGCAGTGAAGAGTGGCCTGAAGGACTAAGTGGAGTGGGCTTAAGAGAGAATATAGCTGTGGAAGGGGACTCCTGGACACACCAGACACCAGTTGAAACATTGCCACAGTCAAGGAGAGCATTGGGACAGGTGCATGAGCCACAAATACTGTTTAATCAATCAGCTGTGCTTCTGGATACGAAAATAAGTTAAAAAAATTATAGAAAGTAAATCCTAAATACTTCCTCTGAAAAGGAAGAATGATGAAGGCATTTAGTGCATTGAATAAAGACTCAGTAAATAGAACGAGGTAGTACTGACCCAAACATAGAAAAATTGATTCTTGCAACTCAGAATTAGACACAAGTGTATATGGTAATTTAGCATTAAAGGTTGCCTGTCAAACTAATGGGGAAAACAGGGATTAGTCAATGAATGGGATTGAAACAACTGGGTGGCCATCTTAAAATTTAATTGAAAATATACTTTCCAAATGATGTTAGGTCAAGTTCCAATTGAAAATATACTTTCCAAATGATGTTAGGTCAAGTTCCAAATGTACTAAATATTTTTAAATAAATAATAAAATATATAATACATAGAGAACACATGGAAAAGTTATTTTATAAATCAAAGCAAGGAAAGCCTCTCCAGCTAAAGGACAAAATTCAGAAGACACTAAAGAAAAGTTTAAAAAAAAGACAAGAACATAAAGAAAATCTTGGTAAACATGAGCAACCATAATCAAAGGGTAAATAATAAGCTGGGAAACTGTTTGTAACTCATAAAGTTCTACTTCATTCTATATAATAAAATTCTTACAAAATTGATAAAAAATCCAACAAACCAATACAAATATTAAAATACAACAAATGAATTCACATTTGCTAGAAAATACAAATGGTTCTTATACAGAGGAAAAACTGTGAAACCAAACTCATAACAATAGAAATGCAAATTAAATTACACTGAATTGTATTTTATTTACCAAAATTTCAAAGACCAAAAAGTTTGATAGAGGGTTGTTTGGGAGATGCTGTGGGACATTTCTGGTGGGAGTGAAGATTTATAGAGCTTCTGACAGAAGCAATTTGCAACATATATAAATAAATGTAAAGAGCTACACTTTTCCCCATAATTCCTTTTTTAGAAATTTATCATATATACATGTATATATGTATATATACATACATAGACAGAGTCAAAAATTCATGGTTCTTTGCATTAACAGNCATATATAAATAAATGTAAAGAGCTACACTTTTCCCCATAATTCCTTTTTTAGAAATTTATCATATATACATGTATATATGTATATATACATACACAGACAGAGTCAAAAATTCATGGTTCTTTGCATTAACAGAAGACTAGAAACATCTGAAATGGCCATCAGTATTGTATAAATTGTGGTCCATCCTACAATGGAATGCTGTGTAGCTATTTTTTTAAATAAGGGTTTAAAAAAAAACCCAGGGAGGACCTCCAATATATATTTAGTTAAAAGAGTACAAAGCAATGTATATTTGTATGAAAGGGATGTATACACACACACACACAGATTTTTTTGTTTTTTTTGTTTTAATCTGTATCAAGGGTACTGCCTAGAAGCCCTACTTCATGCCGTTCCTTCTGTTCTCCCAGAATAATTAATCATTACCTCATATCACTGCTGGTGGAGTTGACAAATCTTGCTTGTTCTGTGTCCTCATGTACCTTATACAGAAACCCCAAGAGAAGCAAACATTTCCTTTGCTAATCATATTGATCACCTCTTAACAGCATAATACCTATGTGTAATCTGGTATTACATAATACACTATGTGTAACCCAGGGAGGGGAGAGATCCCTTTTCCAAACAGGGATGAGAAGGGAGTAAAGTGGAGAAGAACCTGTGTCCTCCCACACTTGATTCTTCAAATACCACTCTCTTCTTTTCAAATACAACTGAAAAGAGAATAAGTCAATTAGGAAAAACTGCCAGAACACAAATGTCTTAAATGACTCATTTGAAAAAAGCTGCTTGAGAATAAGGAAAATACTATTATTCAATATGCTAATTTGTTTACACAGAAGAATTGAGCAAGACAGACATCACCGATGCACACTGGATTTAAGACCTCTCTTCCCACTAACACCAAAGCCAGGAGAGATACCAACTGCTGAATTTCAGCTGGAGAAAGGACACAGGTGAGATTCTTTTCTGGGGAGTAATTCTGTTTTTTCTCCTTGGAGAGCTTTTTCTCCCATAACTGATAAATTTCAGTTGGGGAGAAGTGTTTTCTACTCATTATTGGGTCTGCTGGGCAGAGCAGGACCTCAGGAAATGCTATGAATCTACTTTATTCTGCTTTATTGGATGACAGATTGGCCACGAACAAATAAAATTCTGGTAGAACCCTCTTAGTCCTTCTAGAGATCTGGACTAAGAATTAATGATTTATGCTTCTTCCTAAAACTCATTTCAAGTTGTCCTACAGTAATAATTCTAAAAAGAGTAAATGGGAATTAGGAACTAAGCTATCTTTGAAATTAAAAATCGCAAAACATCTCTCTATCTTATATACTATCGTTGTTCATCTCTGACCTTCTCTTTCTTTCACGTCAGCACAATGAAGCTTTTCATAGGCATTCTTTTCTGTACCTTGATCATGGGAGTCACCGGTGAAGGCTGGTATTCATTCTTCAAGGAGGCTGTGCAAGGTAAGAACCCCGGAGGATGAAGGGCACACCCAACTGACCCCAGGATTCACTCTGAGCAGAGGCCACACACCACAGATGTGGATGCTCCTTTGAGAAACCATACGTGGGTGAGAGCTGGAGGGTTTCTCCTTCCATGCTGGTCTGACTCAGCACCCACCAAGGGCTTCTCCAGACCCCAGGTCAAAGATGGTTTGAACCCAGCCTGTCCTTGCTGGTAGCAGGCAGCAAGTAGGACTTCCAAGGCAGCCAGGACTTCCAAGGGGTGAGCTCCTTGTTTTTGCTGTTTAGTTGCTAAGTCATCTCCAACTCTTTTGCAACCCCATGGACTATAGCCTGCCAGATTCCTCTGACCATGGGGTTTCCTGGGCAAGAATACTTGTGGGGACTCATAAATGGCAAATTTTTCAGTCTTGAAGTTTATCTGTGAACTTGGTATGTCCCCAGGGGTGGAATGTCCAGGGAAAGGGTGAGCTGAATAAACGTCATGCCCTACTCCAAGGAGAGAGGGTGCCTGGGAAAGAGAAGACCTGTGCTTGGAAGGAAGATCCCATCCTGTACCCAAGCAAATGGCCAACGGTTTCAAGGCAGAGCTCACGGAAATCAAGCCCTCACGCTTATCCACACAATAAAAAGTGCAGATTCCCACTGATCTACCACCCTAGGACTGAGATAGGGCCAGGAAGCAAACCTAATCTGCCATTCTTTTTTAATTAAAGATTTATTGGTTTACTTATTTTGGTTGTGATGGGTCTTGGTTGCTGCATGGGCTTTCTCTAGCTGTGGTGAGGGGCGGGGGGCTCCTCTCTGCTGCAGTGTGCAGGTTTTTTCATCGCCGTGGCTTCTCTTGTTGCAGAGTGTAGGCTGTAGGTGCGTGTGCTTCGGTAATTGTGGCACAGGGGCTTAGTTGCTCTGAGGTGTGTGGGATCTTCCTGGACCAGGGATACTTGTGGGGACAATGTGTCCCCTGCATTGGCAGGCAGATTCCTCACCACTGGACTACCAGGGAAGCTCCCGACCTGCCATTCTTGATGGGAAATGAAGTTTATTGGCTACTTGTTAAAGCAGGAAAATTCTGTGGTCAATTGTTGCAATACTTTGATCTGCACATGTTGTCCTTAATTTTGTTTTATCTTCAGTATTTCTTCTTCAGTGCTCTTCCTTTTTTATGTACATATGAGTTTCTGACCTGTACTATTTTCCTTCTCTCTAAAGAACTTCTTTTAGCATTTCTAGCAAGATGGGTCTACTGCCAACAAATTTCCTTAATTTTTTTGAGAAAGTCTTTCTTTCTCCTTTACTTTCGAAGTGTAACTTCACAGGGTACAGAATTTTAGGTTGGTGGTTTTTCTTTCAGCGCTAAATATTTCACTCTATTCTCTTTAGTTTGCATGAGTTCTAAGGAGAAGTCATGTAATTCTTGTCTTTGTTCTTCTATAGGTAACTATTTTTTTCATTTGACTTCTTTCAGAATTTTATTTTTTAATCTTTGATTTTCTGTATATGCCCAAGTGTAGATTGTTTGCAAGGGAGGTTTTGAGGGTTTCTTTTTTTCATTCTGCTTGGTGTTTTCTGAGCTTCCTGGGTCTGTGGTTGATGTCTGACATTAATTTGGGGACTTCTCGGTCATTATCATTTCAAATATTTCCTGTCTTCCTTTCTCTGTTTCTTTCCTTCTGGTTATCCCACACACATATGTTATTCTTTTTGTAGTTGTCCCATGGTGCTTGTGTATTCTGTCCTGGTTTTGGCAATCTTCATTCTCTGCCCTTTAATTTTTGAGGATTCTATTGAGGTATCTTTTGTCATGGAGATTCTTTTCTCAACTGTGTCTATTCTGCTAATAAGCCAATAGAATGCAGTCTTCATTTCTGTTATGGTGTTTTATTCATCTCTAGTATTAGTTTTTTCTTTCTTAGCATTTCTATCTCCCTGCTTACATTACCCATCCATTCTTGCATGTTGACTACTTTGTCTTTTGATCTCTTAAAGTATTAATCATAGGTATTTTAAATTTCCAGTCTGGTAATTCCAACATCCTTACTAGGCCTGGTTCCAATGCCTGCCATGTCCCTTTTAACTGCGTTGTTTGCATTTTGGTATGCTTTGTAATTTTTTCTTAAGAGCCAGACTTGATGTACCTGATAGAAGGAACTGCTCTAAATAGGCCTTTAGTCATCTGGAGATTGGGGAAGCATTACTGGATGCGGTGTGCTAAGTCGCTTCAGTCGTGTCCGATTCTTTGCAACACCATAGACTGTAGCCACAGGCCCCTCTGTCCGTGGGATTCTAATAGGCAAGAAAGCTGGAGTGGGTTGCCATGCCCTCCTCCAGGGGATCTTCCCGACCCAGGGATCGAACCTCTGCCTCTTCTGTCCCCTGCACTGGCACGTGGGTTCTTTACCACTCGTGCTGCCTGGGAAGCCCAGACCTATGACTAGGTCTCAGTTCTTTTTGATGAGCCTGTGGCTCTAGACTGTGAACTTCACAGGTGTTTCTGGCTTTTTCTATCCTTCAACTGGGGCAGGATGGCTGGAGTGGGCTGGAGCTGGTTATTTCCTTTCCCCAGGTCACTTAGATTTTAATAACACAGAGTTTTCTGAGGGAGGCCTATTGAGAACAGAGAACTCTGGCATGTTTCAAAATGGTTCCTTTTCCTCTCCTCCTGCGAGAAGCCCAAGGGAAATTTTTTTTTTTTATTTGGAAAAATTTTTAACAATAGTTTCTGTGAGAATCTGGTTGAGCTCTTGAAGGTAACTCTTAACAATATTATGGGGCCCAATAATGGCTGGGTCCCCCAGGAGGTTTTACTCTCAGAGTTGTCTCCACCGAACCTCCAGAAACTTGTCAATTTTGGTTCGGGTCTTTCTACCCCTAGCACGGGTTTCCTCACCAGTTTCTGCTCCTGAGTTTCTGGTCCAAAAGGCCTCCCTTCTCTATGTCCGCCTGTTCATCTCTCCAGCCTTGAAAGCAATGCTATGCCCTCTGTCCTCCCCCTCTTATGGATCCAAGAAGAATTGCTGCATTTTCAATCTGTTCAGCTTTTTAATTGTTACAGTGGAGTGCTGACATTTAAGCTCCTTATGCAGGACTGGAGGTGATGCTATTAATTTTGCAATTGAATTCTTTGTAATTTTTGTGTTGATATTTGACAAATTCAGTCTTTCTGATTTTGAACCCAAGTGCTATTCTCTTTTTCATTGTATTCTCTGAATACCAGATTAAAAAAAAATTTCCATTAAAATTTTTAAATTTATTTTTATTGAAGTATAATCGATTTATAGTGTTTCACATATACAGCAAAGTGATTCAGTAGTGTGTGTGTGTATATATATATTCCTTTTCAGATGCTTTTCCATTATAGGTTTTACAGTATATTGAATATAGTCCCCTGTGCTATATAGCTGGACTTCCCAGGTGGCTCAGTGGTAAAGAATCCGCCTGCCAATGCAGGAGACACAAGAGATGCAAATTCGATCCCTGGCTCGGAAAGATGCTCTGGAAGAGGAAGTGGCAACCCTCTCCAGTATTCTTGCCTGGGAAATCCCATGGACAGAGGAGCCTGGTGGGCTACAGTCCATAGGGCTACAGTCCGTGGGGTCACAAAAAGTCGGACACGACTGAGGAGCACACACACAGGTACTATATGGTACGTCCTTGTTTACGTATTTTATTTGAATATCAGTTTTTAAAAATTATTTATTTCTTTATTTTAGTTGCCCTGGCCTTCACTGCTGCAGGAAGGCTTTCTCTAGTTAGAGCGAGCGGGGGCTACTCTTTATTGCAGAGTACGGGCTTCTCATTGCGGGGGCTTCTCTTGTTGCCGAGCACAGGCTCCAGACACACAGGCTCAGAAGCTGTGGCTTGCAGGCTCTAGAGCGTGGGCGCAGAAGCTGAGACATGCGGCATGTGGAATCCTCCCAGACCAGAGATCGAACCCGTGTCCCTTGCATTGGCAGGTGGATCTCCATCCCCTTACCACCAGGGAAATCCTGTATATCAGTTTTTAAAAAAGAGTTGTGGGGGGCCATTGCGAAGTTTTTCTGTACATAGTATTTCATCCCTTAGGTCAGCGTATTTCAGAGTTTGCGCTTTTCTTACGGAGTGCGGTAGCTGTAAAAAGTGGAGAAGCCTCTCCTCTCACCTCCTCCCTCACATAGTCCTGATCGTACATCTGAAGCATCATTCTCCATTACCACATGCCTTGTATGACCGTCACATCTTTGTACACAGTACGCCCAACTCCGTATCGACAGCCCAGAGCACCACAGCCCGACCCAGTCTGACCCAGCTCGCTGTAAAGGGTTCTCCTCACAGTTACAGCGGGAGCCGATCCACAGTGAGGAATACGCATCTCAATCTACGATTTCAAAGGACCACTTTGTCAAGAGTCAGAATCTGAAAAGTAGGGGAGAATTCTCACTCCCCCACTTCTCCAATATGTCCCCATGTTACTGTTGTTGTTTTGTCTCCTTACAGGGGCTTCGGATTTGTGGAGAGCCTACTGGGACATGAGAGAAGCTAATTACCAAAATTCAGGCAGATACTTCCGCGCTCGAGGGAACTATGAGGCTGCTCAAAGGGGCCCCGGGGGCGTCTGGGCTGCAAAAATCATCAGGTATCAGGGCTCCCGAGGGCGCTGAGCGGAGCTTGTCTGTTTCCAGAGGGTCAGGGGGCTCTGTGGCCCATCCTCCTCCTGCCCCTACTCCTGGCATCCGCATGGCCCGCGGAGCCAGGGCAGGATATGGGTGCGGAGGTGTCTCCCCTCACTGCCAAGGAGAAAGCGAGGGGTCACTAAAGAAGCCTGATTCAGGGTATTTGAAGAACCAATAACCAGAGCTTTGCCAAAGAGGGTGCATATTTTAGCCCTCCGTCTTAACGATGGGCTTTTCTAGTCTCCTTTCAAAGACAACTGCTTTGTCTGCAAGAGGAGAAAGGAGTCAGAGGACAAAGCTGTCTCAAGCGACCCAGCTGAAATTCTCCTGTCTCCCTTCCTTCCAGCAATGTCGGGGAGTACCTTCAAGGATTCTTACACCAGATTTACCTTGCAAGAGACAGCATTGGGTTGGAGGACCAGGTGTCCAACCGGAGAGCTGAGGAATGGGGCCGGAGCGGCCAAGACCCAGATCACTTCAGACCTGAAGGCCTACCGAAGAAATACTGAGTCTTGTGCCCTCTGTTCTCGAGGGACTACGCTGTGAGCCACACATCACTTCTCCAAAAACAGGGAGTGTGATTGAGCTCTGTCATCCCAGGAACTGAGACTTGTACTCAGAGCTGCCCAATAAACGTTTGTGGAACTGAACATGTTGATGAAAACTGGAGTCTTTGAGTCAGACTCTGGGGAGAATGGCCTCCTGGCACCATTTGGAAGGTGAAAGCTCTGTGGAGGATGAGCCTGTGACTGGAGGGTCCCAGGAATGCCCGGTGACCTGGACCCCTGCCCTGTGCTCACATGGCCCCGCTGAGCCCCGGTACTCTCAGGACCCCAGTTTCTCCTCCTGAGTAAGCCTGAGCTGGGAGAGCACTGGCCATCACGCTGGGCTCCTCGGTGGCGGGGCCTGACTCGGGCACAGGCCTGGGCCGCCCCACGGCCTCTTCTTCCTCCCCAGTCACTGCGTTGCTGCTTCAGGCCTCTCTGGGTCCCGACTCTCCCCTGCAACACCAGAGCCTACCCCTGACTCAACTGTTAACTGGTCTCAGCTCGTGTAACCTAAGAAATCATTCTCAGATGAGTTCCCCTTACCTTTATCCTCACTATCTTTGGGTTAAACAAAATACTATTTTCACTTCTAGAGTGAATGTCAGCTATATGGATATACACTTCCAATGCAGTTTAAGAGAAGCCTCCTCAGAAGCACAGACGGATGGCGATCCAAACTCTGCTGGGCTGTGGGAAGCTGAGGCCTAGTAATTATAGAGGCCACCATTTTCTTTCATTGCAAATGTTCTGACTCTACATGAGTTATTTGATTTACCACAAAGGCCTTGCAGTTCTCACTTGAAGAAATGAGGCTTAGAGGTAAGTGATCTGGACCTTGCTCAAGGTCACACCTGCAGTAGGTGAGCAGCCAGGACTGCAGGCTGGTGAGGCTGACTGCAGGAGGACAGGGATGTGCTGTCAAGACTGAGGTTCAGAGGTGGGGACTCTCTCTTCCACGGATCTCCGCACGAGAGCCCTTGTGCTCAGGAGATGCCTGACTGGTTACAGACACACCACAGCTTGTTCTCATCATGGGAACAGTGCCTCGCGGAGTCCTTACCCTCAGTATCTGCTTCCTTAATAAATTCCCACATTGAAAACCCAGACTTCAGTCCATATCAGTTCTCACTCTTAAACGTTTTCCTCTTCCTTTTGTCTTCAAACTTGAAAGTCTGCTCACCTGCACGTTCTGCTTCCTCACTTCTGACTCACACTGGAACCCACACCAGCCTGACCTCTGTCCCCACCGCTCAGCAAAACAGCTCTGGTCACCAGTGACCTCCATGGTGCCCACTGATAAGTTCCTGTTTCGTATTAGGAAGGCTCTGAGACACGCTCAGCACAGTTGTCTTCTCACTCCTTTCTGGTAGGTTCTCTCTTGGCTTTTGTTCACCCTCCTTTTGTTTCCCTTTAATTTCCTTTATCTCCTTATCTGGGTCTTTCATCTCCCCAAACCCTAAGGGTGCTTCAGACTTGGTTTTGGGTTTTATTTATTTTTTTTCTTCCACTTTTTATGCCTATAGTCTCCTCAACAAGTATAGCAAATAGTATCTATATGCTGATGGCTCTGAAAATTATACCTCCCCGCTCAGAATCTGATTTCCCAAATCTGTGTTTATACATTTGATTGGCCTCTAGACACCTCTGCTTGGATGCCTTCCCGAGATCTCACACTCGTATGTCCCAAAGGGAACTCTCATTTGCCTCCAGAACTTTTCACCCTCAGGCCTCTCCATTTCAGCCTCTAGAAATCTCTGATTGGGTGACTTCCAGAGATTTCACACTCAATGTGTCCCAAAGTGAGCTCTCATCTCCCCCACCAGAATTCTTCACACTCAGGCCCCTCCATTTAAGTAAATGATCCGATTAGTCCCTCTGTTGCTCAGTCCAGAAACTGAGGCATGTCCTTGATGCTTCCCTTCCCTTTACCCCACATCCAGCCCACTAACAAGTCCTGTGATTCAACTTCCAAAATTCATCTCTAGTCCATCAGCCTGCTCTCATATGCATCTCTGTGCTCCTTGCCACACCATTTCTCTCCTGGGTTCCTGCAACAGCTGTCTAACCAGTCTCCCCATCTTCATGGCTTCCCCCTCTGCCTAAGTTGACTGTATAATTTTTCATTTAAACCAAGTGACTTTCCACTGAGGAAAAGGGCATTATTGATGATTATACATGGATGGCAGGAATAAACTGAAACTGTCTTGGGTAAAAGAGAGCCTGTGTTTACCCTACCTCTCAGTCTAGCATACAAATGATATTCAGATCATGTCTCTTCCCCACTTAAATTCTTCCATGGGTTCCCATTCCCCTCAGAATGTAATCCAGTGTGAGCTGTCCCTGGCCACCCTCCAGCATCATCTGATGCCACACCCTCCCAGGCTCCCTGCCCCTCCATCTCACCAACAAGCCAAGCTTTTATTTGGCACAGGACCTTTGCATCCTTTGCATATGATATTTTCTCTGCTCAGAACACTCTTCTGCTTGTTCTTCACATGACTGGGTGTTTCTCACCTGTCTCTCCTGAGATCACTCTTTCTTGAGAGAGGCCTTCCTGGTCACCCTGGCTGATCTACTCTGGTTATTCTGTACTTTTTGCCAATTTCAACATGTGGAATTCTTTTACTAATATTTTGGTTTATTCTTCTGATTTCTTTTGGACTTTGTTTTGGTTTATATTCATCCCTTTTATTACAGAATCAGTGAGAGAAGTGACCATTTCTTTCTTGTTTATATCTGAATACCCAGTCCTGGCATATAATGGAATTTCAACAAGTGCCTATTGGAAATTAATAAATGAATAATTGAATCCATGTATTGTTTTATTAGTAGAAATTTTTCTTTCAAAGGAGGTCAGACTGGCTTTAAGAAACAGGAAGGAACTAAGAAAGAGGGGGAAGCTAAAGAAGAAACAGTAGAACCAGGGGAAACAGGAGGCAGGGGGATCAAGCCACAAGGGATGGTTGACCCCCAGGGGAGTAGAAACCTCTCTTGCTCTGAGGAAGGAAGGAAGGTGAAGAGTAGGGATGGGGAAGCAGCACATGGGAGAGGAGGACCTGGGACCTGCAGGAACTCGATTGTAGCTCCTCTTGATGTAGGTGACTGTCCCCAAGATTCATCACACTCCAGGGTATTTGCCTGTTTTTTTGGTCTGTCTTTAAAGCCAGTACGTAGAAAACTCAAGGCTAAAGGCACATTTCTCCTATTGTGTGTCATCCTTGCATCCACAGTGCCTGTCACAGGACCTCACAGATAGTAGTTGCTTTATGAATATGTGTTGAATGAATGAAGTCTGAGAAAAGGTAGGGTTCAAAAGAGGTCAGAACTGGGTAGAGGGGTTTGAGAGTTGTAGAAAATATGGATGTTGGATACAAATTTGGATGTGCAGAATGTGGTAATGAGTCACTTTGAAGTGACTATTAAATCTGTACTGATAACATACTAAATACCAGCCAAAATGATATAATTTTACTTCATCGTAAAAATGGTCATGTATGGATGTGAGAGTTGGACCATAAAGAAAGCTGAGTGCCGAAGAATTGATGCTTTTGAACTGTGGTGTTGGAGAAAACTCTTGAGAGTTCCTTGGACTGCAAGGAGATCCAACAAGTCCATCCTANTTTTAATCTTACTTCACTCTTGTATATAAGCAAAAAGGAGAGTATACACAAAAACTAATCCTAAAGCAATGACAACCGTTTCATGAGTGCTTCCTGGTAATTGGGGCTTCCCTTGTGGCTCAGCTGGTGAAGAATCCGCCTGCAATGGAGCAGACCTGGGTTTGATCTCTGGGTTGGGAAAATCCCCTGGAGAAGGGAAAGGCTACCCACTCCAGTATTCTGGCCTGGAGAATTCCATGGACTATATAGTCCATGGGGTTGCAAAGAGTTGGATATGACTGAGCGACTTTCACTTTCACTTTTCACTTCCTGCTAATTAGTGAATGTACCGGGAGTTGGTGATGGACAGGGCGGCCTGGCATGCTGCGATTCATGAGGTTGCAAAGAGTCGGACATGACTGAGCGACTGAACTGAACTGAACTGAAGGCACGGCCTAATTTCAGAAATGTGTAATCAAGAAATGTGTGACTTAAAAAAAACATGAATGTGTGTTAGAAATTATGTAATATGACATTTAAATTTAAACCTATCCAGTTTCTCTCTATCACTATATTTACTGAGAAGAAATAATAAGCTTCAAGCTCCTATTAATCACAAAATGTTTAAGAATCTTGTAGGGATGTTAACCATTATCCTTGAAGCATGTGAGGCTTGCCAGCTTGGGAAGCACTGCAGTGCTTACCTCATCTATGAGAACACTGGTTATAGGACATGGAATTGGTTTGCTTACTACAATTCTTGCTTAATTGACTGGTGGCTGTACAAAGTTGTACTCCTTTTATAAAGCAGAAAACTCTAGATTCTGTGGAACTCTCCAAGGCTGCTGTATCTTCAAGATCCTGGCAAGAAAAGAGAACACCTTCAAAGAGGGTAATGTGAGGAGAATTTCAGTTCAGTTCAGTCGCTCTGTCATGTCCCACTGTTTGCGTCCCCATGGACACCAGGCTTCCCTGTCCGTCACCAACTCCCGGAGCTTGCTTAAACTCATGTCCATCTTGTCAGTGATGCCATCCAACCATCTCACCCTCTGTCGTCCCCTTCTCCTCCTGCCTTCGGTCTTTCCCAATATCAGGGTCTTTTTCAATGAGTCAGTGCTTCTTGAGGAGAGTTTAATTAGGGTCTATTCCCAAAGGCGTTGGTACAGCCTCAGGAGATCAGAAGAGATGGTGCAAGTCCTTGATCTAGAAATTACCTGTCGGCTTCCCTGGTGGCTCAGATGGTAAAGAATCTGCCTGCAATGTGGAAGTCCTGGGTTCGATCCCTGGGTTGGGAAGATCCCCTAGAGAAGGGCATGGCAACCCACTCTGGTATTCTTGCCTGGAGAATCCCATGGACAGAGGAGCCTGGCGGGCTACAGTCCATGGGGTTGCAAAGAGTCGGGCATGACTGAGCAACTAAGCACAGCACAGAAATTACCTGTGGGGTGGGGTTGGTATAATCTCCCATAGTCCTGAAGGGCTAGAGGAGGGAGTGATTACAGA